TTCCCCAACAAAACCAAAACACTGCCAACCCAATCCAATTCCTCCCACCTATCCAAACTGACTCAAGACCCAGGCAGTCCCTTTCCATGTTCATTTCTCAGTGCTTGTGAATCCTCTCTCAGTTCTGTTGCTCCAGGAGGTACCGTGGCACGCTGAGTGGGCAGGTGCGTACGGGCACACGCTGCTGGGGGCAGAACCAACACATCTGAACCAGCAGGTCTTGCAGTGTGGGCCCTGAAGTCTGGCCACACTGCCAGACATGGGCCAGCAAGAAGGGGAGCAGTGATTCTGAATGATCTTTTCCATTACCCTCACCTTTGCTGATGCTTGAGTGCTTGCTTTCCATATTCCTCACAACAGCCTAAAGACCAAAAAGATGACAGTGCATGTAGTGAAACCAACATCTGATTTTCCTTTTGAGACAAAAGGAGTCAAAGTTCATTTATAAGAGAGGGTTTCTGTTGTGCCTTATTAGTTTTCACTTAACTCCTGACAGTCTTCCTTGTGTCCACTTCAGAGGCAAACAAGCTAAGCACGCAAAGGAGAGAACAGAAGGATCTATGCAGGATTTTTTCCCTCTGATCCCTAGAAATTAGTGCTGCCTCTGCCTTTTCAGAGGAAAGCAGACACCTTACAGCTACTACTGGGGCCTGGGGAGTTAAGGTCAGACATAATAAGAAAACTGACTCAGGCAAACACTACTGTTTCCCAAAGAAGAAATACCTTTAGTAAGATGCACAGTAAGGCAGAGTTCTTTATGCCCAGAATTCTGAGATGTATTGATATCAAAACCCTCAGAAGATGCTGAGCCCTCTGAAGAGCATCTAGCGAGACAGGCTCTCTCCAAGGGAAGAGATGATCCCTGCAAAACACTGACTATCCATATATTAAATTAAAACTAGTGCAATACAGTGACTTATTTAACTCTGGTTTAAGTTTAAGGAGCAACAAGTAGTAAAAGATAAAGAAGTGTTAAGGAACACAGAAACTGAGTAGCATGGTCCAGCAGAGAGAAAGGACCAGGAATTCCAATACTAGAGTTTTTTGCCAGACTGTCTAAGCTTTATCTTCTTAATTCTCTGAGCCATATTGCCAGCTCTGGTGCCAACAGGGCTTCTAATTCTGAGTACATATTTTAGTCTTTCTCTGCATTCAGCTTTGCTACCAACTGAACAACCCTGGCATTGCTGCCTGCTGGGATTACATGGTGCACAAGCTTGGGCAGGTCTTCTGCACTAAAGTGAATCATCCTCCCTTCTGTGGCTTTCACACCGTGCCACGAGGCTGTGGCATCTGTCGTACGCAGGTGCTGGGGCCTGATCTGCATCAGTACTCAGAGAAGAGTGGACTCTTCTCTTTCCTTGCATGTAAGAGGAATTCATCTCTTTGTGAATACAAAATTTGCTTTCAGATATCAGAAATCAATGCTCAGGCTGTCTAAAGCATGCAGTTCTTTGACTGCCTGTCCCTCACGCAGCAAATGCTGCTTTCATTCACTATTTCCTCTGTGCTTTTGAATGAAGCAATTTATTTTTCTTGCAGGACTCCTGAGCTGCCCTGCACTATCCTAAGTTGATAGTCACTCCCACAGACATCAGCAAATATACATCTACAGACTAAGTAGAAGAAACAAAGTTATTCTCAATGTGTCTCAGAACATGTTTTTTTTTTATCCATATCAAGTGTATGAAGTGTTTCATGTTAAAAATACAGACATGAATATAACTAAATTGTAAATCTACCATTTCTTCTTGTTTAAAAAGGTTTCCATGGAAAGAACACATGAAAATAATAGTGCAGGTCCACTTCTAGAAGCTGCCAACTCATCAATCAGACTGACACTTTCTGGTTCCTCCACTGCAGAGACAGCAAGGAATTGCCAGGAGTCAAGGTCCTGTTTTGTAATCTCTTCAGCCTCAAGCCCTTTTGCAACTGTAAATTCACATGTTAAGGATAAGATCTTCCAAAGTAGAGGAAGCACTTCTGTTACCTGCTTTGAAAGTCTTGCCAGTAAATGCAACACTCTACCCTATGTGACTGCCAGGGAGCTGTTGTTTCAGAATAATTTGACCAAGTCATCTTTACCTTGAACCTTCAGAGTCAGACATGTGCTTTACCTGGGGACAGTTCTTATTCTCAAGTACAATCTTTGTTTTTACATAAGTCTGTGTATCTGCTGATCGCAGCGTACCTACGAAAGGAGAGAGTGCATCATTAGCCTGTTACCAGGACAGAAACAGGATAACACTTTTTACATGTGATGGCCAACAACCAAACGACAAGCATGAACACGTGAGGCACTGAGCTGGCTCTGCCCTGTTCACAAAGTGTGAAAAAGCTTATGAAACAGAAGCCATCACAGTCGGTTCTAAATAAAACCACCTCAAGTCTGTTACATGCTAACCCACCTGGAGAGAGGAATTGAGCCCTCTGGGAAACAACTGTGTTGTAGGTATTAACGTTGCAGTCTTTGGAACAAAGATGCCAGGGAAGTGAGCAGGAGAGAAGGGATGAAGTGTGTTAGGAATTTTCTTTTCATAGAGAAAATGACCAAAAAAAGAGAAATCTAATGAGACACATAGCTTAGCTTAATTCCTCTGGTCAGCTGTTTCAACACTACTGATTACAGAAGCAGCAGCCCCACTCATCTCAAGTGCTTCTGCACAGCCCAAGCTCCTTTCCGCTAATTCTAAGCGCTTCTTAAGACTACCTCTGCCATCAGAAGATAGAACAGCTGATACAAGGTCCTTCAGATGTCAAATTCTATTTAAAAAACGAGACAGGAGACAGAGAGACATGTTAATTACAGAAAGGCCAAAGAGTAAATAGGAGTATTAGCTCCAAATCTATTAGACAAAATAATGCTTCAAGAGGTGTTGTGATCCTGACCAGGTGGCATGCTCTTGCCTGGAGTGAGATGGCAGCAGCACAGCCCTCATGACCAGACTGTGCCACTAGGGCTGACATTTGTTTTGTACTAGTGAACTGCTGCAAAGCAGCTTGATTTTTATCACCAACCACACTCTCAGTACATCCCACATATGTAGAATGGGGTGAGATGCTGCCAGTTAATACCTGCTGAGGATCTTTGCAAGGACCTCAAAGCCAGCATCTGAGAGCCCTTTATACCTTGCTCGCAATGACACAATTCTTCTCTAGAAAGTCTCCTATACAGGAGACAACTTTAAAAAGAACTTTACTCCTATATGCACACATCTACCAATCATCAACAAATATTCTGTAGTGGATGCACAGGAAGCTGATGACAGAACAAGTAATTTTATTCACTGAGTCAGTTTTGACACCAAAGGGCACTGAACAGCCAAAAAACATTTATAGGGAGTTCCACTTACAATGTTATTCAGAACATCAGTGGTGTTTTTATTATTTCTCAGGAGTACTTAGATGGAATAGTGTTACCCCATCGAAAGAGTTGGTAGCAGTGGGGAGAATACAGCTAGCAAGGTTTACATAAAACTAACAGTCATGTTATGCTCAAAAGCTTAAGTTTATTGCTCTATTTAATGACTACCACCAGTATTTTTTAAAAGAATGTCAGTTCCTCCTGCTAGCTTCTCACTGAAGGAAATATTTTAAATACAGCAATAAAATCAAGTGGTTTAAAGATAACACATTTTGCCACATGTTCATGCAAACCCTGCTGACAGGATTTTTACAGGTTCATGGATACAGCATAAACACAAAGGATGTGTACTGAAATATTGGGAAACTTTCCCCACAGTGATGAAGTTGTAGGTGTAACATTTCAGGCCCTACCCTGCACCTACTGATATCAATGGCAAAACCTCAGTGGAGCAGGATCACACCTTAGTGTTCCGAGAGCTGCTTCACCTCCTCCTGATTAGGAAGTGCAGTAAATTCTCAGAATCTCCTGCACTAATAAAAACAGTAGGTTTTGGTTATTGTTACAAATAAAGAGAAACAAAAATATTTTTAGTAGATCATCACAGCTTCTATTCACAAAACACTCATCTTTCATGTTAAGGGTCCTGTGTACCTCCATTTTTCTCTGCTCAATAAAGCACTTAAACTGGTGCTTGCCTCTAAGCATTAAGCACAAACTACAATCTTCACAGCCTCATCAAGGTGTAAAAAGAAAACATGGGCAGCAGTCTGGATTACTGAAAAGGAAATATCACTGACTGGACTAGTGATTAGAATGGGCTAATGATGGTCTAAATTTGGTTTAAGGGCAAATTTCTCAAAAACCAACCAACATGCTCAGACTGATTTTTTTTCGAAGCTGCTTATAAGATTTGCATTAATTCTAATGAACACTGGGCACCCTCTAATCTTTGAAACAAGTTTAAATTCATAGAATACAAGTTATTATATTATTACCTTTTTAATAAAGATTAATTCAACTCACAGAATTCCTTACCTGATTTAAAACCTCAAATTTCTGGGGAAATTGTATTCTGACTGTGGTCTGACCACGTAAAAAGAGAAACTATTTGCAAAAATTAAATCTGATTGCAGAATGGGGTGCCAAAATATTGACAAAGAAAGGGTACAGTGTGAAGAATTTACATTCAGATTAACTTCTGTTCACCTCAGATTGACCCAGCTGTCAGGATACTGAGGGACACTGCTGGTAAGAACTGGAGGTAACAATTTAACTCACATCATTGAAAAAATATTTTTCCCCTAGTTCTGATAACACTGGTGGTGGACTGCTTTAGAAAAAAAATAAACAGGCAAACATGATGTGTGAAACATCATTTCAATGTGAATCGACTTGAACCTTTCAATGCAGAGGCTCAGGTGGTTTATGATATACACAGTATTCGGTAATTTTATATGTAAAAACAATCAGAAAGAGGCAAAAAGTTACTTTCAAGCTTAGTCAACATACGTCACATTTCAGCATGACAATTCAAAAAGTTTCACACTGTATTTAGATATATTAGCAATGATCTTTTAAAAATAGCAAACTGAAGACAGTGGATTTTTTTTTTTCTGTTTTTTTTTTCTCTTGCTTTTGTAACAAATGAAGCTGCTATTCTTATTTACAGTATAAATAAGCCTTTTTTGGTGAAGATTATGTCCTGTCACATATGTTTAAGACAAGGCGTACCTCAGCTCTTAAATGTCAATGCAAACAAGAGCATAAAAGCAATATCAAAGTAAAGTAATGTATCCTCCTTTCGAGCTACAACAGCCAGGTTACCGTGTGTCTCTTGTCAGATCTGAAATATATCAGTCAAAAGTTCTCTTGGTTTTAGCCTTTAGGAATACCATGAACACTTATTCTTCTGCTGCTCTAGAAAGCTGTTTTCCGTACAAGCTCATGACATGATGGACAAATTGATACTGCTCACAAGTCTGGATCATTCCTCCCCTGAAAAGCAAAGGAAAAAGGAGAAGGAAACAGCAGCCTTATTACCTGCAAGCACAGGAAACAGCACAGCTAACACAAAGCCTGTTACAAACAGTCTGTTCCACAGCTTCCCAACACGAGGGCAAGGTGCCCACTGACTGCAACCAGCTCGCAGCCTGAACCAATTCTGGAATGAGGGTTCCTCCCTCTGTGCCATCCCATGTTGTGCTTTTGCCAACTTCACCAAGAAACTAGGGGATGGCCAGCAGAGTTTTGGGACAGGCAATGGAACTTTAGCAGGAGACAACTCAGATTTGTAACTGAACTGACTGCCATGCACACCTTGATCAGTGAAAGACTCCCAGCACAGAAGTCTGTTTTGGTTCAGCTCTTATTTCAGCTTTTGCTGTTCTCTTTAAATTTGCAAACCTGTAAGGAAATGCAGGCAGGAGCAGAAACAGTTTTGCTTTTCCATGTATTGTTAGTCTGGGTATTTCTGCAAGTAGCACATTAATCAACACAAGCACTACAGCAGGAGACAAATGAACAAAAACCAAAGGGTAAAATTGTTCATTTTATGCAGATTTTACTAACATTTAAAATTCTGCTATGAGTACCTCATCAACACTGATACCATCTCTTGATAATCCATTATGAAACTAATTAAAGCCCATGGCTCAAATTCCCAGCAGGTGTATGCAGAGTTGTGCCAGCAGTGGTGCTGATGCACTGATACTGGGAATGAAGTGCCAAGAGGAGGCTGAGATGAGAAGTGGGGCTGAGGAACATGGGAACCCATGGGTGGCCGGAGCCAAGCAGACTGTCAGTCCAAAGGAAAAGCACGGGTGGTGCACCCCCTCAGAAACCTTCAGCAGAGAAAATTAATGACAAGCTGCCTTCTCCGAGCCAAACGGATAGCAGACTGCTGGCATCCTTCTTGGAGACTGCCCTCCTCAGTGGGGTCCAGCTTAACAACTGTGGGTCACACAGTAGCCATACCAGGAGGGGGTAAATGAATGGCCAAGACAACCTCCTCCCTCAGCCTCTGGTAGTTATTTTGTTAAGCAGCTGCTTGAAATAACACTTAATGATCAGAGAAGGGACTCGGGCTCCAGTCTCTCATCAATAAGCAAAGGTGAGAAACACACACTGTGTTTCTAAAGAAACTATTTCCTAGCTGAGCAACTCCTCCCCATCTGCTCTGCTTAATCCAGTTGATTTGTTTCTGAGCCCTTCTGTGGCACACAGCACTGAAATATTTATGCCAGTCCATGGCACACATGGAACATTAGTCACGTCTGGCAACTACTCCCCATGCAGTTCTGTTAAGAGTGAGGTTGCACCCTGAAGTTGTGGCAACAGAAGCTCTAGGGTGGCCATCGAGTTTCAGACCAGAGGAAATGAGTTTCCTTTGTTCCTGGTTCCCTGCTACCTGGTGGCTTCCCCCTTCCCACACACGCAGACCATGACGTGTTGCTGTCCAGGCTTTTCTGTGGCACACAGCACTGAAATATTTATGCCAGTCCATGGCACACATGGAACATTAGTCACGTCTGGCAACTACTCCCCATGCAGTTCTGTTAAGAGTGAGGTTGCACCCTGAAGTTGTGGCAACAGAAGCTCTAGGGTGGCCATCGAGTTTCAGACCAGAGGAAATGAGTTTCCTTTGTTCCTGGTTCCCTGCTACCTGGTGGCTTCCCCCCTTCCCACACACGCAGACCATTGCTTTCCAGGCTTTGGCAGAGTGGAGAAACGATGCTTACACCTTTCAGACCCGAGCTGCATGGTGGGAAAGGACAGCAAATGTCTCTCAGCACTGTGGGAAGGATGCAGGAATGATCACTTCCCCTCTTTAGTCATACTAGGTTATTTTAGGACCAACTGTTGGCCACTGGTACAAAGCCCAGTGCACAGGATTTTTCAACGGGATCTGAGAGGGAACGAAGGGAAAGAAACATTTGTTCCCTTCATCCCAAAGCCACCTCATAGGTGGTTCTCATGGACACTGTCAACCCCTCTACTGCTGTGAAGTGGTGAGGAGCATTCCTTCGTGTGTGTGCTCTGGCCTGCATCCAGCCTTCTTCCCCCAGGTCCCTGGTGACTCCTTCCCACCCATCCTATTTTCTCCAGCCAGTAACCACCAGATGGGAGGAGAAGACAGAGAAGATCTTCCTTCCTATAGATACTGTCCCACCATCTCATGCTGCTTTTAAAGTCACCTAAAGTTTTTGTGGGGGTTTATTGAAAGTGACAATGGGTGGCAGCATGACTTGCAAGAGACTACAAGCCCCACTTTCCAGTCCTTGAAGAAACTGTGCTCTTCCGTAGCAAAGATGGTGATTTGACTGCTTTCCATCTTGAGTATTTTCTCCTATGACATTTATATGGTTTCTTCCTATCCCATCCCATCCCACTTCCAAGAGGTACATAGCAACTACAGAGTCTCTGCAGGCTTCCTTTCCCTCCATGGCATCCTGACCAGTGAAGGTCTCCCTTCTTCAGTCTCTGCGAATGACTGACAGTTCCCCTCTCCCTGCAAAGCTAGTGTTTTTAATTTGGCTTCTGTATCAAACATTTGTAAGCAAGTGTCTTCAACCTTCATTTGTATGGTTATTTTTCTGTGTAACACTAGTCACAGAGACAAGGTATTTCAGATCCAGACAGATATTTCACTGGGCCATGGCAAATCAGCACTCACTATTCATGTTCTGGTTTTCTTTTTCTTAAGAAGCCTTTCCTTATCTCCCTGAAATCCATTGAAATAGCCAAACCTATAAGCCCCTGCAGGTCCCTGTCTATCAGAGCCTCAGCAGGGCAGCAAGCATTTCATTTTCTGCCTCCCACTAAGCATAATTTCTCATCAGAAATAAAGTTCAGCGTGGGGTTGAGGTTCTTTTTTTTCCTTAGAAAAATCTTTGGTATGTTTTTCGTGACATCTCTTCCCCTGACTACATTTATCATTATCATTAGTGAGAGCACTGAGACATGTTTTGATGGCACTTGAAACCAGTGGGAGAGGAAAAATAACATCTCTGGTGCAAAATTCAAGTCTGTTTACTTCATAATCAAACTCAAGGTGGTGTGTTAAGAAATGCTTAACTGGAAACCACTGAATTTCCAGAGATTTTCACAGCTCCTTTCATATGTCTGCATACACTCCAGACTGTGCATCCTCTCCCTCTCCCTGCAATGTCCCAGGCTGTGCCCTCCCAACAGCGCTCACAGCTCCAAGTATGCAAGGACAGTATTCTGTACTCCTCCTGGGAGATTCTCCTGATCTGTGGCTCTGAACTTAAGTACAGCAGACCTTTGAGCCTTTGCTTCTATGTGAACCCAGGGCCAGCTCCTCAGCTGGTGAAAGGTCACTGCTTGTTGGGCTGAGCTGTGCAGCCGTGCAGATTTTGATGCCAGCTGTGAATCCAGCTCAGTTCCAGGGCTGTTCATTAGAGGTTTACTGCTTATAAAGCAGGTAAAGGTGACAAGTCAAAACTGTTCCTTGAAGGAAATCGTCCTGTTCTAAGCATTCTCTCGCCGCCTCCATTTGCCTTTGCTCCCCTCCCCCTTCCTATTTGTTTTCTCTTAGGAGAAGGGGAAGCTGCCCCGGCTCCCCTGGCCCTTGCCTGGGGGCAGGCAGGCTCCTCACCTGTCCAAGCGCAGCTGGCAGGCTGTCCGCAGGATGTCCACTATGCCCTCGCTCTTCAGCTGTTTGCAGCAGACGCTGGTGGCGATGAAGCAGCCAGTCCTCCCGATGCCTGCACTGAGGGAGGGGAAGGCAGAGAGAGGCAGGGAGATGTTAGAATGGCTTGGGAGCTTTCTCTTAAATGAGCGTCATTAAGGCAGCAATCAAACCCCATTATCCCTTTCCTTCCTCCAACCTTTGCCAGGTGGGTGCTTGTGAATATCAGGCCATAACTAGGAGAAGATATCAACTTCAGTGGAACTGCACAATTAAGTGTGAGCCACTCACAGCCATACAGTGCTAAAAATGGACCATGAGGTACTGTTTGACCCAACATGTCATTGAACTTGTCACTGAAACACCGAAAATAAGCAGTTAAACAGTATTTCTCAGTTAGATTTGGGTTGAGGGCAACCCTTGCTTTGAGCTTCTTAGTACTAATAGTTTTTTGAAAGCTATTTTCATTCACACACAGAGCAAAAAAAACCCTTGCTTAAATAACACCAGCTAACAACAGTATGATAAGTGTGATGCCATTTGCTGATCGGATCTACACTCTAGTAATTCTCTGAATTACTGCAGGATACAACAAATTCACTATTAAAGAAATTCCTCCTTCCTGAACACCTTTGTATCTGACACACCTTTGTATCTGGTCCTTGCTTAATGACCAGAATTGATTTTATTCTCAAAAGGCACATTGCTATTGAAGCTGTGAATTCTTCCTATCACCTAACAAAAACTAGCAGCGAAAGCTGGCAGCTCTTCTTGTGCCTTAAATAATTAAGTGAGCTTACTCAGGAATAATTACTTGATACAACTGCAAGAAGTCCTTCTTCCATTTAAATTGTGCTAAAGCTGTAATACAAAAACACTGGCAACAAATGTCCAAGCAACAATGGAGCCTGCAGTTAGCTGCTGCTCCCAAAGCCCTAACACAGTTTCTTTGTACAGACAGCTTTTTCTTTTTCACTCTGAGTTCATGCTTGCTAGGGAAACACCTCCACTGGAATAGATCTAACTTTCATTACAGAATGATCAAGGCAATTCAATGGAGGTTTGGAGGATGCTCTTACTCACCAAAAACTCCTCTCAATTTTCAAATAATTGTTATGGAGGTACCTATTTGATTTAAAATATTTGTCCCTGAAGCTCTCTGTAACTCATGTCCTGACTTCTCTTTATCTACTTTGTTCACCAAGACTCCAAATATGGCAGGGTTTCAGATGACTCTTTGCTGCATACAGATGTACATCAATGGTTAAAAAAAAGGCCTTTTGTCTTCCAGTTGATGCCATAATAAAGTAGGCCACAGTGCCAGCACTTGTCCCAGGACAAGCTGCAGGTCTCGGTGGCTGAGACAAAGTCATGATCCCAACAGTGCCACATTATCCACAGGACCTTAACAGGACTGCTAGCCTGCCTTTAATATGAAGCTGCTTTTAAGAATAGATACAAGACAAAATCATGAAGCTATTTTTTCTTAAAGGTGCCTTACTGAAGGCTAAAACCACAGTGATGGTGTTCTACTGACAATCTCCCACAAAGGTCAAAGGAGCTCCAATCCCCAGCAGAACATGGGCCTTGGCTAATGGGTTCCTGCATACACCACTCCCAAACAGAGGCAACGTTTCAAAAGTCTTCTTCAGATAAAGTGACTGCAGTTGAGAATAATCTGAAAGGGCTCTGGTCCACAGGATTATAAAGTATTTTGTGTTAACTATCACCAAGAGGCAACGTTTCAAAAGTCTTCTTCAGATAAAGTGACTGCAGTTGAGAATAATCTGAAAGGGCTTTGGTCCACAGTTAACACAAAATACTTTATAATCCTATCACCATGTCTACTAGCAGTTATTTCAGATAAAAATACTCCATTTCTCCCCAAATTATTATTGTGTCATAGGGATGACACCATACAAGAGGATCAGACAAGTGTGCAAAGCAAGAGTGACACGGTGACCAGAATCTTTACCTGCAGCAAATACCATATTACTTCAAGGAGCTCTTAGAGAGTCACAGATTTCCAAGTGCAAGGGGACCTTCTTAAAAACCATTTCTTATTTTTCTGTGAACACTCCCCAATTTGTCAGAAATCTGTCTTAAAACACAGGCAGAAAAACTGGACATGTGGCCTCCTATGAACATTTTACTAGTGATTACTCCATATTAGCTCATAGGTGGATCTCTGATGACAAAGGGCTACCAGCCATTCATGCTGAGGCTTTAAAAGCATTCCCATTGCACAATATACCCCATGCACTATGGCTTTTGGATAGCAGCCATCTACCATTTCCTAGAAAATATTATGCAAAACTAAGTAAACTTCCTTACAAAAATCCCAAGTATCAATTTGGCAAAGTCTATTTTATTGAAATTATAGAGGATTACCCTGGCAAGATTACTGCATTGCTTTTAAGGCTTTGCTCTATTTATCTGGAATAATTGTTTTAAGAACTGACATGTAGTTTTCAAGTAATCACGTTTAACCTTTCTAGACACTTGCAAAACATGACTTGCTTTCAAACCTCTGAAACTTCTCCAATTTTCCAAGAACTAGCATTCAGTTACACTTAAATGTTAATAGCTTAGAGCTTGTGGACCATTTATTAAACACTCCTGGGTGAAAATCATCCAGTATAGCTGGATCAATAATGGTTAGCAGCTGTTGCTTAAAATGCTCCCCAGTCAGCAGTGCAAAATAACACTTCATGTCTACAACTGATAAGTATTATCATCACACTTCTTTCTGAAGACAGAAGAAAAGTTTTTCTGTTCATCCATTTTGTTTTCTGCTCTGTGATTGATAATTACACTTTTCTCATCACACTTCTAAACACTGTAAAGATTCTACTTCTTTCTTATAAGAAGTTTTCCTCTTTTCCAGGGGCTTTTTATGGATACTCCAATTTTACTATCTACTGCATATACTGCATTGTTGATTAGTTCTTGCTGTGATCAGCTTTGCCACTGTTTTGTGTGTTCTAAGTATTATACTTGAATTGTTGTCTTTGGCCTGATAAGGATTTTTTTTTTTAATCAAAGAAGGAATCTACAAAGCAGGGAGTTTGGAGGCTTAAAGCTGAATGATCTCACTTTTCTGCTTGCATGTGTCCTCCTACTCAATGTCACTCACAGTATGTTCATCTTTGGCAACCTGGCCCTTGTAAGACCATGAAAGGCATATGCATTAGTGGTAAGGCAAATGAAATGACACTGATTACAAGTAACTGAGCCACCACCAGCTCATGTTCAGCTCTGTACCAGAACGCAACACCTGGTAATAGAAAGTTATTGTCATCAAGTTTTACAAGCTCCAAGAATATTTCAGAAGCAGCTGGGCAAGATCTCCCACGTCTGCCTGATGGCCAAGGTGACAGTATCTGCACTACACCACTGTACGTGAAGATGCCCTCAGAAGTCAGACAACACATTTATTTACCTGCAGTGAACAATCACTGGGGCATTCTTCTCTTCTGCACTCTGCATGGCTTCTTCCACTTCCAGCACCAGCTGTAACAGAGGTGGGGCTTGATCTGGTGTCTTCTGGTCTGGCCAAGACGTGTACCAGTAATGTTTCAGGTTTCTGACTTCTTCTCCTTTCTGCAATCCAGTGAAGACAAACACCACAAAATTTCAAAAGAACTTCAGGTTGTAAACTGATGTTGAAAACTAGCCTTCCCTTTAAGAACAAGATGAGTATATCCATGCTAAATGGAACAGCAGACATGGCAAAGCCACACAACACAGAAATCTGGATTTCAAATACCACGTCTGCACTTCAGTAAACTGCCTTAAAAAAAAACCCACACACATCATTCCTCCCCCTGCCCCCCCAAGTATTCTGCTCTTTTAGTGCCAAGAGCTGTGTGCAAAACACTCCAGGCAGTCTGTTCCCTCTTGACAGATTCATTCAGCAAAGCCAGAGCTGTGCTTGTGACATAATTGCTTTCATAATGTATTTGACAGACAGAGAGCCAGGAGCTGTATCTCTGTCTCTGATAGCTGGGGAGACAGATGAGGGAGAGAGATGGGAGCTTATTTTTCTATTTCCTCTGACAGACAGACTTATATCAGTTTTCTGTCAATTCTACTCTTCTCTTAGACATGACGAGAAATGCAGAGACCCTACAGAAGGCAGGAATTGTATCTAGCTGCAGTCCAGGGCTTTTTGAGAGAGAAATTCCAAGTGTCTCTCTGTCTCAGCATGGCTGTGAATACAGCAAGTGTACCATTACCTTTTCTGAGTGCCAAGCAGCACTGCGTGCTTCCCATTTTGTGTGTTCAAAGTGACATCCTTCTGCCCAATTTCGAAGGCACCAAACAGTAACATGGAGCTGAGCAAACCTGCCTCGCCCTTTCAGACACTACATAAGCCAGCTGGCACAGGGCAAAGCAAATGTCTTCAGAAGGTCTCTGAAGAGAAGTGTTAGCTTCCACAACCTTCCCTTCAACACGTGGCTGGCTGAGTTTAAGAGAGGAGGAAGAAAGAACAAATTTGTCTCTTTCTGAAGGAGCCAGGTACAAGATCTGGAACTGGTTTCTGCCATCAAACCTGCTATGTCCCTGTGACTGCCAGGTGCTGGATGTGAAAAGTGCTCTGTGGTTGTGCCACTTTTCATCCTCTTTGGTTGACAAAGGTTATGCATAGCTTGACAGTGAACTAGACTAGGGAAGTGATCTACTTCAATCTTTTTTCTGTCTCATGCTGGATTAGTTCTCAGGTGGACTGATCAGTTTCCCCCTCTGGCTTAACACACAGTCACACAAACGCTTGTGCAGGCTGACAGGAGATGGCACAAGGGTAGGAACAAGAGAGCTGGACAAAAGGAGGCCAGGCTTCACCAAGCTGCTGTTCCAGCTTATATGGGGTTGAAAGTGCTCAATGAGGCACAGCCATAGGAACCTTGAGGGTACATCTAGCTCATTTCAGGAGAAGAGAGTTTTGCTATTGTAGCACAGTCTGGCCTTAGGTTATTTACTCTAGTGAGAAGATATTCTGGTTAAGAGAGCATAACTAGTTGTCATGAATAATACTTGAGCTCACTACAGTAAATCTGATCAACAGTGCTCTGAAACATGAACACCCAGAGCTGCTTTTGAATGTGTGACTATGTGTGGGCCACACATAGTTATGAATTCAGTTATGAACACCGAATTCTTAAGTGGGTTGTGAAAAATTATAATAAAAATGTTGTCAATAATACTGAGAGAAAAGATAAAAGCCATCTGAAGAAAAACATGAATCACTACGTGAAGTTACTCATTTGACAGAAACCAATCAAAGTTCTCATAATGAACTCTAGATGTCTTTAGTTTTGTCTATGATGTTACCAGTTTTGCTCCTCTGCTTAGAGAACCTTGACTTCTGTGGTTCTGTACACTTCTGCTTTGAATTTAAAAAATATTCTCTCCTGGTGCTTTCTGGAGATTGAGAATCAGGAAGACGTAGGAGGAAGCAAGACTCAATTTATGGTCTGAAGTCCACCATCCTGTACCCTGTAGCTGAGGCTGAGATCATGAATCAGTGGCTAGACACTTTCCTTTTAGAAAGGAAAACAAACCTTGCTTGCCCTATTGCCTGAGCAATTCCTAAATTTCTAAAGCTTGCCAAATCCTGTCCCCTGTTCTGAGGGAAGAATGACAGTCCACCCTGTAACATATGCAGCAATCATACTGCTGGTGGTAGTATATATTTCTGACCACCTCATGTTTAGGAGAAAACAGGAGTTCATTCATAGCAGCAATCATACTGCTGGTGGTAGTATCATATATTTCTGACCACCTCATGTTTAAGAGAAAACAGGAGTTCATTCATGGCTTCTCTAGTTTTCACTACCAAGTTATTTAACATACCTATGGTCTGGAGCTGCTACTCCACTACTGCCATTAAATAACAGAAGTACAGCTGTAGGATATGGTAGCTTAACAAATGAAATCTTTATTACAGCTGACATTTGGGAGTGGGAGGAAAGACACTGCCCTACTAGTACTGAAAATAAAAACATTGCTCAGCTGAAAACCAAACTGGGATGACCTTAAAGAAAATAATCAAAATGACCATGTCATTTAGGTAGGGAAGGAACTACATCCTTAGAGATGTAAAGCCTTATAGTCTTATATAGTGTCCAGTAAAGACTTTTGTATCATTTGTGATAGGAAAGCACTTGTCCTTTTTGGCTATGATTGGGAAAAATGTGTGTTATCTATACTACTTTACTTATGACCTTGCTGTACTCTGCTGCCCTAGCTATTCTTTATTTTCTCTCTGTTAGTGCCTGAATGTACTGGATATGCCAGCTCTGACAAACAACCTGGCTTTCAATTTGCTGGTGGTTGTTTTTCCCTGTGGGATCCACAGCTACATATACAGAAAAGACATACTCATATCCAGCACTAAATTCTGAAGCTTTTTCTTTAACACAGAGAGCTTCGGATAGGGAATAACAAATTAAGCAGGGACAGAAGAATTTGGCCAATTTGGGAGGAAAAAAGCCCCCAACATTTCAACCTAAACCTCTAAAGTTAATGTCAAGCTAGAAAAAAATTCAACTAATATTAAATTGCTGTATTTAACTATTTAAAATAATTAAGGAAAACTCTTCTGGCAGATCGGGTAGGTTTTTTTTTTTTATTGAAAAAATTGTTTTGTCTTCCTAACTACAAAGTGACTGGTTCTGTTAGGCAGTATTAGTCTGTGTATTATTCTTGTTGCTGCACTGTACTGTTTAGAATAAGTTGTATTTAAGAACTCTGCAAATCTGCAACATACTTGTAAATGTTCTTTACTTCCCACTTGTCAGGGAGTGTGATTTTCTCCTTGCTGCCTTTGCCAAAAGCACGAGTGACAGACTTTCTACACTCTCAATCCAGACATGGGATTTTATATGCTGACTTTCTGCCTGTAAGCATATGGCTGAAGACACTTGAAACTGGTTGGATAAAAAAAAAAAAAAGGTTTTTTAGCTTGGAAAGAAATTATGTTGTTATACTGAGGTCAGGGGTAGATCTGGTAGATGAAAGATGTATGAAGTTTATGTAAATAGACTGTTCTTATTAAAACATGTAGCTTGAGATTCTAGAACCTAGCAATGAAGACAGTTGTAAAATGGGACACTGGTACTTCAGACTGAATAGTATCCAAGTACTTAAATTAAACCTCTCTTTAAGCTTTTAGCATGGTACCTATTAGAAGTGTTTGACTGTGCTGAACAGAAGCGGTGCTATGACACCACTGACAAGTGCCAAGCAGAGCAGCAGTCCCACTGCTGACAGAAATTGAAAACAGGCAAGCAAAACTAAACCACCTTTCACTCAGTTCTCCACTCCCTCACGTTTTGTTAGTAGCACAAGTTATCTTTGGTATACACAGCTGGTGTGTGTCCAGCAGTCTGACAACACCCTAATAGTGGCCATAAAAAAAACCAAGAAACCACAGTCTAAATATTTCCTATGGGTCTCCCCATACTACAAAATAGTAAGACACCATGCAGGTGAAAGTTCCCTGCTGGTAATCACTAACCCTTTGCCTGAGCACAAAGCATAACCAAGCCTTTGAATTCTACAGAACAGAGTTTAATGGGTTATTCCACAAGTGCTGCCTGTAGCACCACTTGCAAAGGCTGCTAAGAAGCCATCTGTGAGCTAAGATATCCCTCCAAATGACCAGTGAACACAGGCACAGAGTGAGTCATTGGTTCCTTCCACTGAGTGAACCCTGTACTACTACAAGTGGCCCGGCAGCTTTCAGATTGTACATATGCAGCCTAAATCTCTGACTGCTTATTTTACCGTAGTCTTTGTATGCTGGTGAGCTGGGCAAAGCTGTCACTCCTTCAGTAATGAAAAGTGGCATTTGTGCAGCAGTACACTCTGTAGGAGATGGACACAGCTCTCCATTTAAGGGTTTAGACAGCAAAACTAGTGTAAGTACACTGGAATGATTTACCTTTAGGGTGATGAGCCTTAAACGGTAATCGTCTGCTTGAATGACTCTCTTCACTGTGATTTCTATGCCTTCGTAGGTGACCTGCTCCTCTGGCCAGTATTCTGTGCATTTCTGTGTACAGTATAAAATAAACCTAGTTAAGCAGATATCAAAGGAGATTCATATTTACTCCTGAAATGGGATATAGCACATCCAGAGATGAATATGCATAAACTTGGTTTCTATAATTAGTACAAATTTCCAAACAGGGACCACATTTCAGGTGAATTTTGCAGCATTCATATTAGCCTGATTGCATGATTAAAAATGCACAAATCAAGTAATGACTAACCAATGCTTTTAAATACACACATCCGGATTTATCTTTATGCAACTGATGCATATTTTGAAGGTTCATTAGAAAAGCCAGTGACAACATGCCTGTGTTTTTAGAACAATCCTTTTCTTAAGATAATAATGATTAGTATAATATATACTAGTTCTCAGTACTTCTGTGGTGTGTGTACACTGATATGGAAACACAAAATACATATTTTCTATTTTTTATAAAGGGTTAGTGCCCTCTGAATGTAAGATGATTATTTGCATAGGTTTCATACAAGAAAACATGTCTGGGAATGTTTTAGGAATTAGATTATATACCAAAATCCACTTGAAATGGACAGTGAGAATATTTCAAAGCTAAGGAACAATAAGGAAGCAATAGCAGTGAGAGCTATTACACCTCTGCATTTTTTTTGCCAGAGGTGCAGCCAGCACAAGCTGACAATTTGAGAAGCAGAAATTACAGTCCATTTGCAAATCTCTGTTGTGGCACTGACACACTAGAGATGAGCAGGTGAGAATTTCTAAGCATTCCTATGCTAGGAGGACTGAAGAAGACTGCAGGTTTTTGTACGCTGTGTCTCTTTAATCAAAATGCAGAGGAAGAGAGAGGCACTGCTAGATGGTGCATGAACTGGCTCATGGACAAGGAATGACATGAACAAGGCAGGGTCTGAGAGAAAGGCTCCCTTGGGATAATGGGAGAAGCAATCTTGTTATCACAGGAGAAGAATCTGATATTGCACAAACCTAGTTAAGTATGATGCTTGTAAGCTTCCTTTTTTATATAGATTTAACTTGCTTCCTTCAAGACTGTGTACATCATTTTTCTCTCCTCACCAAGAAAAATTCCAGCTTAGGAGGAAGACTAACAGCAGGAAAGTATCCTGCAAAGTTACCAAGTCAAAATTTTTGTGTGGGAGAGTCAGTGCCTGTTGATAACCCACTGGGAGCGTGGCCCACTGCGTCTCTGGGGAATTATTTACGCAGATTGCCGGTTTTCTTCCTCTGCTCAAGCTGCAGAATCCATTGTGAAAATTGTCAGGAGCTCTGGCAGCTATCAATAGTGCAGACGCTGCTCTGCCTAAAGGAGTGGAGTAAGATTGCCCACTCATTCCTGTGGGCTGTCTGTCAGTTCAGATTAGATGTGACAGAGGGCTGAGACACAGAGTTTTTAACACTCCCATCAGCGAAGTGGTTGCACTGAGGAAGGAACACAAAGCCCCTGTAACTAGCACCAGTGCTGAACAAAGGGTTTGAATCTATGTATTTCTGAGTCATGTTATTCATATACTAATGTATGTGTTACAGAAGAAAGGGAATTAATATAGAAGACATCTACATGAAAGGACTTACCCTGTATTTATGGCTGAGATTCCTGACACCATTTAATTTTTGACACAAAAGGTATCAGAAAAGATTCACCAGCTCTGTTATGATATACAGGCTGCAGCAAACTCCAGTTATATAGTGTATCAGGCACTGCAGTGCACTGCTTCCCAAGATTGATATGAAATACTTGGTCAGTGTGTGGATAAGAGGAAATTCAGACATGAAGGTTATTTTACTGTTATACAATCTTGATATGGAAACTATAGTGGAAGAATTTATCAGATACATCATTCAGGACCAATATTTTGTGTGCATCACCTTCTTTAAACCTCTATGTCCTTAAGTGATTCTGGTACACTATATCATGACATTTTAACATCTTATTTGTCATAAACTGGCAACTCTGATCAACCAGCAAGTTATTACTCCATGTTGCCTCAAACAGAGGCCAGTGTGAGTTTAAAACATCAGCAAAGCAAAACACTTGGATCAGCATCAAAACTGTATTTTGCCTCAGCAATGCCTTGGCAGTGTGTGTCCAATCAGCCAGCTGTAATAATTGACCATTTTTAACTTGTAAAGCATGACAATTTTGTCTGTCCTGTTCATGCATTTTTCCCCATATAGTTCAAAGTTAAATTGATTTACTTCACAACTAGGGAAAGTGAAAGGTTTGTGCACATGCATAATTGTGGACATTAAGTGTCCAGTTAAGCTAATACAACTCTGTGTGTATGACAGAGGCATGACCATGTTCTTGCCTTTTAAGTATCTAAAGCCTCTCCTCCAAAGGAAACTCTATCACTTAAATTAATAATGGGTTCTCAGGGACAAGCTTTGACAAATACTGCTGCTGCAGCTTAAGAAACACCAGCTGGATCTCTTCACCACACCTTGCTGCTGGTAGTGAGGGTGAATGCAGAGCCCAACACATGCCCAGACCACTTTCTCACATCTTACACTGCCAATAAAAGCAGCGAGAAGCCCAGCTACCTGTCCATGGACTGAAGCCCAGGCACACAGTTCTTGCAACTCTACTATAGGGCAAGTATTTCAGCAGTTAAATAATGAACAGTATTTTAGACTGCAAACAAAAATCACATTAGGTGGATTATCAGAAGCACCATCACAGTTTAAGTTCTGGAAGTAGGTGGTGAATAGAAAATCTGAGTATCTTAATTTCAGTATTTCAAAGGCATTTCCTAGATGCATTCAGGAAAAGGTCCTCCAATGTCAGCTCTAGTTGTTGAGTATTGTAAATAGCATCTTTCACAAGTCAGGGACAGCCTCAGGGAAATGTGGATATAGACAACGACACATAACAAATGCAAGATAAAGCAGCAGCAACTCTTTTGATTAGAGATATTCAACTTTAGTAATTATGGGGTAATATTGTTTTAGATTCCTTTAGGAAGAACTTGAAGGAGTATCTACAAATAGAGCTGAGTTTGGAGAGGATTCAGGCCAGCTAGGAGAGGAAAAATGGCAAAACCAGCAGTAGGTTAAGTGAGACAGCACAGCAAGACTCACAGTAAATGGCAGTGAAAGAGAAACCCACATGTTCTCTGAGCCTGAAGAATTTAATGGTGGCTCTGACTGCTCAAGCCACTGAACTAACTTCTGTTCACTGGCTTAGCATCTATGCCAGAAATAGCTGCTAGAATACAGATAGAAATACAGACTAGATGTAACACCATTACCTCATTCATCTCTTCTATATTGGTGATCATGACAATGATGGGGGAACGCTCCTGCCACACCATTCTCCAGAAATCACTGACAGTATTAACTATCGGTCCCTGAGTAGCAATATAAACCTTTTCCTCTCCTCCATAGCCCTGCCAACAAAACAAAAGATCAATTTTAGCAGGGATATCCACCACAATCTTGACGGTTCCGTGCTTAAAACAGAGAACTACCACTGGTTGAAATAGCAACTCCATGGCACCAGTTCTTCCCCTCTCTCTGTGTTCTGCACATGTGTGCATACAGCAAAGGCACCATCTGGACTCATGTAATTCCAGCAATGACTGTCCACCAGCCTGAAGGTGACTCTGGCCAGGTCAAGAGTTATTCAGGCTAATGATCCTGTGCCTTGGTCAGGCCAGCTGAGAAACAATTTGTACCAAGGAGTGCAGAAGTTTGGTTTTGTCTGGAGTGAACCTGTACAGCTGCTCTCCCAGGTTTGGTTTTCCATTGATGTAAGCAGGAGAAGAACAATCAGTTCAGCCAGGATGCCTTTAAACACCAGTGGATGTTGCAGCTCTGTTTGCATGAACGGTGGCTGAAGGAGTCTGGGCAGACCCACTGGACTATGGAGCTCTTACCCTGATGTAGTTGGCGTTGATGTAAGAGCTGAGGGGGTCGTCCTGATCAGCTGAGGTAAGGCACACTCTGCTGTGAGGATCTGAAAGGTGTAAAGAGATGAGTAACAGTTTATCAGTTGCTCAGGAGGCAGAAATACAGACCCAAGATTTTTTTTTGTACAGCAAGACACTTTCATGCATTCATGGCTATGACAGATGTGAGTGGCCATGTGGAGCTCCCACGTTAAAATGTTACCATAAAGAAAGGGAAAAGATGGTTGGGGTAATTTGGCTTCTGATGGTTTTCCCCACTCTCTGAAGCCTGCTTAACATCCCAGAGTGACTCTGGAAAAGCAGTTTTCTCTTCCAGGAAATCATACCTCAGTTTGCTAGACCAACAGACTCATTCTAGCTATTAAGAATATTGTTGGTGAAACAACAGCAAACAGCAATAACAGACAATAACTCTTTCCTCATTTTGTCATGCAGTGAACTAAATTCCCAAGATGAGCTATTAACAAATACAATGGTTAAAGAGAAATTAAAGAATATTAACAGTGTCTTGTTCTTTGCCTAAGTATCTTCAGTATTTGAGTCTCCCTCTTTGGGGAATTATTCTTGTTTTAATAAGATAAATGAAAACATTATTCCACCTGAGAAGTTCAGCTCAGTTCCCACTGAAGTGAATGGGAGCTGTGCCACTGATTTTAATGCAAGCTGACAGAGCCCCACATTCATCCCCTTTCACCAGTACTACAAAGTTTGTTATCATTGACAAGAAACAACCTCCTGACAGAGGCCTCAGCAAGCAGCAACAGTGTGTATCACCAGGAGAAAAAAAACAAAGCACAGATGACTTCTTCTAACAAAAAAACCCACAAACCAGCTGTTTAAAAAACAGAACAAAATAAAAAATATGTAGAATTAGTGTGGTATTGGGTAGAGCACAAAGGACTATGCACTCAGTGATTTCTACAGTACTACAGACTTTTCCTGAAACACCATCCTCAGACTGAATTTTGCTCAGAACTTTGTCTCTAGTACTGGGGAGATGGTAAGATAAGATCAAACCTGTTTATTAATTAATAACTGATAGCCTACAACATGTCACACCATTAAAGAGGTGACAATGGTTGTCAGATGTTTACTCAAATACCACTGGGCTGGCTAGTTACATCTCTTTGCATGGATTCCTTTGCCTGGGGTTTATGCAGTCATCCATGGAGCCTGCTGAAATTTGAATAATGATTATATGATTTTTTTTCCTACTAATAATATCAATAACACTGTGTTGTCCATATCATGGTGGGTCTTTACAGATAAATAAAATGGATTCAAATAACTCTATAAACAGAAGCCACAGACTTTTAAGCATAGGCATCTTTTAGTAGCTTCTTGAACTGCAGTAGAATTTGCGTTACTTCTCACTGTATATATATTTACCCACAAAAATTATTATTCAGAATATACTTTAAATTATAATACTTGATTTTTTTTATTTTTCTGTAATGTAGTATTTACATTTGTTAAGTGAACAGTTTCAATGCTGTATATATATTTACCCACAAAAATTAATATTCAGAATATACTTTTACTTTAAATTATAATATTTAATTTTTTATTCTTCTGTAATGTAGTATTTACATTTCAACATTATTTCATATAAGGGAGGCCTACTAATGTGCTGTTGATACAGAAAGTGCAGCTGAAACTGAATCTTATCTCTTTGAAATGTATGAACAGGAATAACTTCCTCCTTAAAAAAAATAAATCATAACAAGACTTTAATATAGGAGGTCACAGTATGAATTTCAAATTTTCAACAGAAAGGCACTTAAGCAAAACCAAATCCTACCCTAAATGAAAACATTTCTCCCAGGACAAAACCAGTGCATTGGCCAGGCTCGAGAAGACATTGCACCTTTACAAAAAGCAGTAGTAGGCTGTATCTCTAAGAAACCCCACAAAGCAGCTGCTTTTTTTTTTCCACAGTGTCTTTGATGGCCATTTTGTGTTGATACTATGTCTCACATGTTGGAGAAACTTGCTAAACTTCATTAAAATGTTTTGCATAACTTAAAATGGTGTAAAAGCAATAGAGCTATGTAGAAATTTAAAGAAGTCTGTCTAGAGATTAATTTGAGAAGAGGATTCAATAAGGTTGATATACAACATGTTTCAAAAACTTCTTGTCACCTCTGGAATTCTATAACAAGAACATCCTTTTCTAGATATTCAAAAAATGCCTCCAAACATCTTAGGGAAAAGTTATTTCCCAGGAAATATCATAGGACTCATCCCCAGAAGACGACTATCTGCAAACAAAGATTCATAGCTATGAAATATCCAAATCAACCTTCTTAGCTTGGCCATTTTCCCAAAGACAGCCTTCTGCCACCAGAAAGCCACCTTCAAAGCCATTTTACTACAAGCAGCAAAAATGGAGAATCTACAAAAAGAATTTACTACAAAAGAAACATAAATGAGAGGAATTGCAGCTATTATTCTGTCTCTTACTACAATCAGCTCTAGGGTTGCAAATAACTGACTGTTAGGTTAATGACTACTTACCTTGTAATAGTAGCTGCCTAGATTATTTCTGGTAAAACAGCTGTTAAGGGACTTGGAGTTACTTTTTACATTCACATTTTGGGCTTAACTCTAGTTTGGTAATGAAGGATTTGCTGCTTCCTATGATAACCAGTTGCCTGAGTCTGCTGTACTGCAGCTTGCACAGCAGTTCCTGCCATTACTGCTCTCTGCAGCTAGAACTTGGAGCAATTCTAGGGAGAACTTATTCTTAAAAATATATGGTAGTGGGTCAACTAGCATCATTGACACTTCTGGAACAGGGTGTGCAAAATGGCAGCAATCTGATCTGTCGGTGTGAACATCCAATAAGAGATATTTCAAATAGATCCAATTCTCAAAGTACACATTAGATAGCAAATTCAGAACATATAGATCACTTTAAAATCTAGCAGTTTAGGCATCTGAAATCACTAGCTACTTACACAATCTTGCTTTTCCAGAAAAAAAAAGTGAATTAATACTTGACTGATTCACCTCAGTCATTAGCACAGCAACGGTGCAACACGCCTGATTGTTTTAACACTTCTGGTCTAATGTGGAGTACAAAGTCATGAGAAGGGTTGCACACATTGGATCACTGGGTGCAGCTGCTCGAGCTCTAAGTCTAGATGATAAAAATCTCTTCTGGAACCATTTCCAGTCCAGGTTGACTAGAATGATGGGTATAGCTGAGGACACGTTTGAGTTCTCTGCCCTTAACTTTGCTAACCTGACACTGAACTTTTTAAGCTTTCCAAAGGTAGAGATCCTGTGGCTAGTGGTGGCATCCTCCAACAATGGCTTTGAGCAGAAAACAAATGCATGGCATTTAATTGTAACTTGAAGCATGACAGAGGGAAATATGACAACACTTGTAAAGATTTGCACCAAAACGTTTCTCAAAACTACTCCTGGCTACAAGAGAATAGTGTAATAGAAAAAAATATTTTGACTCTCTGTATCACTTCAATGTCATCAGGCCAGTTCCCAATGTTCTTAGTTTGCATTTGAGGCACAGTTCTGAGGCACATTTGTCTGAGAAAAACATTGGTCAGGAAAATAGAATGGCTAGAAATTAGTCCTTCTAAAGGAGTTTAATCAAAGCAACCACCAAATAACACCCAAATAAACACACCAAATTCTTGGGTAGAATTTTTATGAAGCAACAATTGATGCAGTTCTAATGACTTGAAACCCTATGTGCTGCTGATGTACAGTGAATCTGAGGTTCTTCATGCTCTGTACCTCTGCTGAAATTTGATTTATACTTTGCAGTAATGTTGCTGCTTCATAAATCTGGCCTCTAGAAAATACTCTATAGTGACTGGACACTTCATGCACTCAGAAAAGGAAGCCACAAAGCCCTTCAGCACATGGAATAAACCACCCTGCCTCAGTGACTTAAAAAGCAGAAACTTACTTGGGAGAATTGTTTTGTAGCGATTCTTACGTACTAAGCCTGGAATATCATATTCCTTTGGATCAACAAAGTTCATTGGAATCTCCTGTCAAAACAAAACCAAACCACAAAAGACAGTAGGTAGTAGTATTATATTCACAAGAGGAATAAAAAACTCAAGCCCATTACATCCTGCCTGTGAGGGAGGCAAATTGATGAAGTCAACAGGCACATGGTACAGTACCTCTAACAATTTACCACCAAAACATGACTGATGTTTCCTTTTACTGTCACTGGCTTTCTTTCCCAAAATCTTTACCATGAAGGCGTTCATAGTGACTCACTCACTGAGTAAACACGGGCATTATGTTAGCTCCTAATGTCATTAGAGCTGAATTGCAAGCACAGGCACAGAACTAAGCAAGAGGTGCTATGTAAGATACTCTGCTCCAAAAGCAATGGTCCTCAGGCACCTTCCTGACTCACTGCTTCTTCCTCTCCAAGGGTGGAAGGAAATAATTTGCTAGTGACTCTCACCAACAACAAACTCTGACACACTTTGACAGGTCGGTGTACAGACCTGACTCTATGGAGCTGGGAAGTGTTACTCTTTTTGCTCACCACTGTAAAGCTCCATGGGCCACGGCAACAAACAGGTGTTCAGGGACTCCCTATTCTTCACACTGCTGACCCAAAGAACACAGAAAGATGGAGGGGCCACTTATTCTCCACTGCTCAACTCCTGCACGTAAGAGGCCAATGCCAGGCAGGAACAAACAGGAATCTTCCACCAGCTGGTGTCAGCAGGCATGTGATGAGATGGGATGTGTTAACCAGGCTTAGCAGAGAAAGGGCTCGTGGGAGTTTAGGAGCAGAGATGCTGCACACTGAATTTCAGAGGCCAGTATTGGACATATTGGTAACAGGAGTCAGGGCTGAGTAAGACAAGCCTCACTCTGGGAGGAAACCAAAATGAACACAGCTATGGACTACATTAAACTCTGAAGCTTTAGAAGACTGACCATCTGCTTTCTGTCTCTCCCACAGCACTGAGCATACTGTCAGGCTTAACCAGAGAATTAATGATAAAAACATTTTATTGAAGTACTTTCCTATCCATTTGTGAAACTGCATGGCAACAAAACCTTCATGTTTTCATCAACTGTTACTTGGTGTTTAGTCACCCAAAACTCTTCCTGAGCCAGGCTCCATGTTCTGGTTTTTGGGACTTGGTCATTTAATGCTTGAGCAAATTCTTGGTTAAATCAGTAGGACTTCTGCCTGAGTGAAGTCTTGTAAGAATTTCAGGACTTTGCCCTGCAAGTGACATCCCCTCCAACTTTTCCACCAGTAAAGCACAGCTCCTTACTTCATCAGGAGTCTGGATTCTGAAAGCCAAGTAGGTTTAAGTCTAAGACTGAAAAGACACGATGCAGAGCTCGCTGGTGATAACTCTTTCCTAAAAAAAGCTAGTTTACAATTTTTAATTACAGAAATGACTGTTCAATTACACAGCATTTTCATACATACTTGCCAGTTTTCATTAAAGCATAAAAATGGCTTGGGATAATCTGTCTGTTGAATGATTTTCTGAACAACAGGAAAACTAAGTCAAAATCTCTCCAAGAAATGAAGCAGATTTTTCCCTACTTCTAACATTATTTTCTTTGCTTGAAAGCTACAGTGCACCTCAGAGACTGATGAAACTATGTGGACTTGTCCAGCAGTCAATCTAGACACTCACTAAGTGAATATTTCCTCCCTAGAACAGCAATAGATGCTTTAGTTTAAAAGAATCAGGGCTTTCCTACTCAAAAGCTGGTTTTCTTCAATGTGTACAGCACTAAGTGAATTAAGGGCCACAGGTATCTGGCAGTCTATCTCATCTGCCCCTCTTCTTGTAAAATGAAAAAAAATCCTGAAACTGCAGAGGAGGGAGGAGAGCAAGTGCTAATCAAAGCATTACTCCTGCCCTTTCAGACCCTTACAGGTCATAAAGAAGACAGGTGGAACAGGCTGTTATATTGCAAACCATCTCCCTCCTGCTCTGATGAGACTCCATGCTTCAGAGAGTGTTTGACTTGGCAGGATTTACTGTAGTAGGGTGCTGATCACATGCTATGAAATATCCCAGCATGCACAGACTGTGCCCTGGCTACCTCCCATCTTGAGCAGGAATTTACAGCTCTACCTAGCAGATGTAATAATCCAAGCCACTGCACCATTTTGCCTATTTTTTTCAATATATGAAGTTATAATAAATGTGACAGTGCTTATCACATGAAGACTTGAGCAATTAGGGAAGAGGCTCACAGAATGCAAAGATCCTGGGCTGCATCCAGAGAAGTGTGGCCAGCAGGTCCAGGGAGGTGATTCTTCCCTTCTACTCCACCCTCAGGAGGCCACACCCAGAGGACTGTGTCCAGCTCTGGACACGGCACAAGAAGGACACAGACCTGTTGGAGCAAGTCCAGCAGAGGATCACGAAGATGACTTGGGGGTTGGAACACCTCTCCTATAAGGACAGGCTGAGACAGCTGGGGTTGTTCAGCCTGCAGAAGAGAAGGTTCCAGGGAGACTTAATTACAGCCTTCCAGTATCTGAAGGAGCCTACAAGAATCTGGTGAGGGACAATTTACAATGGCTTGTAGTGATAGGATAAGAGGTAATGAGTTCAAACTGGAAGAGTGGATTAGATGAAAGAAGAAGTTCTTCACTATGACAGCAGTGAGACAGCAGGACAGATTGCCCAGGAAGACCCCAAATACTGGAAGTGTTCAAGATCAGGGTGAATGGGGCTTTAAACAACCTGGTCTAGTAGGAGTGTCCCTGCCCAATGGCAGGAGGGCTGGAAGTAGACAGCAGGACAGATTGCCCAGGAAGACCCCAAACACTGGAAGTGTTCAAGATCAGGTTGAATGGGCTTTAAACAATCTGCTCTAGTAGGAGTGTCCCTGCCCAAAGGCAGGAGGTCTGGAAGTAGATGATCTTTAAGGTCCCTTCCAACCCAAACCACTCTATGACCCTATAATCTAAAAAGCCAGTAAGCTCACTACACCTGATGTAACTGGCCTTTATCCTAAACTACCTAGAAACCATATTTTCAACTGCTTGCTTCATCTGTGTACACAATTTTTTTCCCAAAACAAGGCAAATAATTCTTTCTCCCAGAGCAACAGTGGATACACTGAGCCAAGGAAACATACTTCAGAAGCCTAAAGAGCAACTGACAGAGCAGCTTACAAATAGCAAATTTTTGTGCAGAAAAAAACCTAATGAAGATATATTTTCTTTGGCTTCTGCTGACTGTTGTAGCCATCCTGTGCTTCAGTTAACTGGAGAACATTCAGGTTTGGAAAGTAGCTCCATGCCAAGCATTCAACAGTAAAGAGCATGCTTTTGGACTAATTTCATGCCTAGGGCAACTCCAGACACATTTCAAGATGTTACACCTATAGCAAACTTGGCTTTTCTTCTGTACTCTAGTGAAAAACTTTCAGGTTTTTTCTGTTAAAGAGTAGCATGCTGACAGAAGAAAGACCCATGCAAACAAAGGGTTTTTTTGTTGTCATTGTTACTAGGACCAATTCTCTAGTGACAATATCACTGAAAGCTATCAGACGTTGTCGTTTCAAGGGATGATGAACTTGGGAATTGCAGTAAATGCTTCACTGGTGGAAGTGGAGTTCATATGTACTAAATTTAGACTTGCAGAAAATAATAGCAAGGCTCATAGAAGAGACACAACATCCCATTTAACTTCTCTCCTAGAAGAGAAAGGCCAGATACTCACAAAGAACTCGGCCTGGAGTATGAAAGGATCCAGTGCTTTCTTGTGCAGTTCCTCTTCAGTAAGGACATTTGATGCTGTCTGGAGGTATTCTTGGGCTGACTGTTCCCGTGGTGACATGATGTAGCCAAAACCTTGCTCAGAACAGCCTGGGGTACACATATCCAGTGTGAGTGAAACATTTGAACCTCTCCTGCAAAACAGAGCAATCAAAGTTTGCTTGTAACAGAACAGACTAACCCGTTATTGCCACCAGTGGACAGTCCCAATGAGACAAACAGCAACTTTAGAAAAGCTGTTTCTGCTGTGTATGTTTTGGTCACCAGCTGTGAAAAATGGGTAATGCTTCTTGTGTAGAGGAGACCCAAAGATGATTTTGTACACTGGAGTATGAAGGCCAACACTTCCAAAGTGTTGTCTTCAGTGAGTAACTGCACTCTGTCACCTAAATAAAAGCAACTTGCTTGTCAAAGGTGCTGAGCAAACAACCACATGAAAGTTTTCACGTGGTTGACACTACTGAATAACTGAAATTTACTGGTAGGACAGACAACATCAGTGGGGTAAGATCTTGGGATAAACACTACTACTTCAATAGTAAAGGACATGAGAAGCCAACCATTACAGCAAAATTCTTCTGTCTGAACAATTTTCTTTCCACAACAGTATATCATGAGACTGGTAAAATGAAGGTCCCAACACTTAACAGCTACATTAAAAACGGAGATGCTGTTAAGTATAGAATTTTTAGTTGTTTTACTGTAAGCTGGCCACAGAACAAAATGCAAAAGTCAAAATGCTTGATTGTTTATTGAATGCAGTTTTAAAGCACTTCTGAGCTTATATTAATCTTGCATCTCAAAGACAAAAGCAAGATTCAAATGCCATCAGGGAAACTCTAATATCTTTAACAAAATAATAAAATCATACAAAATTCTGATTACTAAGTGTAAAGTTCTATGCATCTACACAGTAAACCTATTTTTGATGACTCTGAATGGGCAAAAGTCTAGTTAGTAGGTGGTTGCAGGTGCTGTTGAAAAACCATGTAAACATGCAGGCATGACCAGCTCACAGAGAAGACAGCAGAAGTTGTTACTTGGCTCACAGCCCTTTTCTGGATTCAGGAGTTTTTCCAAAACAATGTGCAGCCAGCCTCCTGCTATGATTCACAGTCATGGGGAAATGATTTTGGATGGAACATGACCACTAGCAGTAAACATTGAATCTTTAGCAACACCTTTCAAAAGATTTTGACCTCCCCTCCTGTGTGCTGTTAAATAGTTACTGCTTTCCTCCCCAGAAACAGCTGCATTTGATAATGAAAGCTTTTGGTTAAGGTAGAAGAGGCTATGTACATAAAGATAGTAATAGTGCTTCAGCATGAGGAAATGAGATTCTTTCCTCTTAAGAGTAATATTCAGTGCTCTTTGAATTTAGCTTGTGACTACCCTCCTAACAGCCTGCCTGGTTAAAGAGTGAGAGAGAAGTAAGGTAAAGAAGCAGCATGGATGCAAAAGAGAAACAAGTAGAGAACTCAGCACAACACCAAACAAAGGAAGTGAACAATGCTTGATGTAAATGACATCTGAAGCCTGAAATGTCTGGCTTCTCAAGCACAGGTGTGTGTTGAAAACAAGTTTATTTCACATCTTAAGTGCACATGTTCTACCAAATGTGAGAACTTCAAGCAATTGCTTTCTTTTTCCCATTTCTACTATGTTGTCAGATTTTTAATTATAATTCATTACTTGAACCAATTGATACTCTCCAGTTCTCTTGAAACAGCAAATACCTTTCCTGCAGGCTAGCAGTTACCTGAGAAGAAACGCTGGCATCTTTAAAATGAGATGGAATGAAACCAGGGATAGGGAAAAGCAGAAATGACTGATGCATTTCAAACACAGTCTTGTCCATAATGAAACCCAGCAAAACTCACTGATAGCAGCAGGTTTGGGAGAAGCCCCAGAGGTTACTGTAATCTCATAAATAAAGTAGTATATAACAATAAAAGGTAGGACATTTTAGGACAAATATTGTAATTAGAAATAAAATGAGAATAAAACCTCCTAAGCTCACAGAGTGCAAATTAAAAGCCTCTTCTGTACCATTGCCTTTTACTAGGTCACACAGAGCTTTGGAAACTCAGCATCACACTTTAAAAAATGTAAGTTCTGCCCTTTGTTTTAAGTCTTAGATCTAAGACTTAGCTATGGTTAGCACTCAAATTAAGCTTGAACACTTAGAAACAAAGAAAGGTGACACTTGGCTATATTAGGCCTTTCAATAATCTCATTCTTATTCATAACATCATCACCTTTGCAGAATTTCTTCACAGGATTTCTATCATCAAGATCTTTGTCCTATTTCACTAAAACAGCTGAAAGAACACAAAGCAGAAAAAGATCTTCCTTTTATCTTAAAACTTAATTTTCCCAGCTGTGAATCTCTCTGAGAAGCTCTGTTGCCCTGATGATTCAAGGAATGAACACCAGCTCATCCCAAGGTTTCATTACTGGGTTAATTTCAAATGAATGAGTTTACTTTTGGGCTAATGCATTTATATGGTTTGCTTCTGGAGAAAGGACTAACCCTCCAGCATGAGTGACAGAGAAAACATTAACAAGATCTACCTCTCTCAGAGGTAAAAAATTTCACTAGGAACAGCAAGAGACTGATCAAACAATGAATATTTCAAAGGAAAGAAGTGATGCTTTTCAATAACACTTGTTGACAGTTGTCTAGAAACTGTATGTTTTTTGGCTAATATGTTTATATTGTTGACTAGACTGAAAACAAGACAGGAAATAAAGCAGGTGCTTGGCTTTAAAACCACATTTAAAAGTGATATTCACAAATGCAATGAAGTGTTCTGCTGGGCATAGAAACTCTTAAATCCACCATATCTGGGACCAGATTTTCCCCTAGTAGTCACATCTACCCTACCTTTCTTGCAAGCCCACGGATTTAACTGTTAGAGTAGCTGGGTCTGTCTCGGCTTTAATGTCCATTACGCAGTCAAAGACTGGAGTCTCTGGTACAGGATCCAAATCTAGGAAGTCCTCCTCATTTTTATCCTCTGTCCACTCTGAGTAGGTGAAGGAAGGCTGCCGGCTCACGGACTGCCGTCGGTCCTCTTGCAGCGGAAAGGGGGGTTCTGCACGGGCTCTGAGCAGATGCCAAAACTGGAGAAAACAAACATTTTAAACAAGCTTTCTGCCTGTTGCCAGCCCTTCCACATAGCCGAGAGGATGGGTCTGCAGGGCAGCATCCCAGCTCATTATAATGTGTTAGAACTGGAGTGTACTGAAGAGGACAGGAATGTTCTGTGCAGGAGTAGCTTTGTGGTGCCTGTTACAAGGATTCACATCTCCCTATTCAAACCTGCTTTCACCCACAGGTTTCCACAGAGCTGGCCAGGCTTAACTCAGGGATACAGTGGAAGCAGAACGTGCTTGTGACCATCATATGCAAGCCAATGTGATATAGCTGTCCTTTTGTTCAGTTTCTTACCCTTCCTAGGTTTGTTCACCAAATAAAAATCTACCAGATTATTTCACAAATGTAATTCTCCTGACTTCATAGTTTTCCATCTAAAATTTACATAGAGGGGGGTTAAGTAAATATAGTTTTCCTAAACTACACTTTTAAAATAATCTGGCACTGTACCCTGAATTCCTGTATAAAACAATTTTTTAATGAGGCCTTGATTTTGATGTAAGTGGTTCTGGGGCTCAGAATGCCTATACCAGTTTTTGGCCAGTGGCAAAGACCATTTTCTAATCTAATTATCTGATTTAAACATGGCACAAGATTAAATAATAAATCTTGTGAAGTTCTGGGACATTAATATAATATTAAACTTTATAAGATAAATTAATTAAAGGTTTGAAATTGCATGAAACTAAAAAAACCTATCATATTGGTTTGCAGAAACACTGTGGCAGACTAGATTTGGAGATTGTATCAGGAGACTGTTTAATACTCCACAAAGGCCTCAGTTAAAAATTTCTAGATCATCCATGAATTGCAGCATCTGGAGTCTTAGGCCAGCTTCATCCCTCTAGCACTGAACAAGGAGCAGTATTGCTCAGGCTAAATGTTGCACAAACTACACTGTATTGCCACGCGTCCTTCTGAAACTCACAAGAGAAGGACTTGTCTTCCCATCCTTTTCTTGTGTGGCTTTTAAATGGGCAGCTGAATTTAGGAAATGTACCATTAAAAAAAGGCTCAATTTCTCTTCCTAGGCCACTGAAGCACATTAGTTTGTATAGAATTTTAAGCAATTTTCTTGTGCCTGTCTTTGTGTACTCTCATTTCTCTGAGCCTAAAGAATGAAAGGAAGTGAAACAACTTTTCATTTCTGTCCACAGTCAGCTTTAGCAAATGTTAGACTCCCACAAAGCAGCAGTACTCATGTGACAGATACTTCAAACAAAACAGGATTTCTTTTTGTTTCAGTTAATCAGAGTACACAGTAACTACAAAAACAAATAGAGGAATATGATGACTAGACTTATTTTACACAAATTTGGGGCCAAGTCTGAAATGAGTCTGTCCTACTTGCTTGGCCTGTTGGATGATAAGAAAGAAGCTTGAAGATTTGGTTCTGTTTTCATTCCTCAAGATGACTCCAGAGCTTGGCAGTCCCACAGTACCAGCCACTCTTTCACATCCTGCAAGACTGTAACAGCTGAGCAGCTCACAGTGGAAAGTATCTGCTCAATAACTCTGTACTGCTGGAGAGTGCTGTTATTGAAAATCAGCACTTGTGCTGAGGGCCAAGTGCTAAGGTCTAGGTACTAATTATATATAACAGATTCTAGAGCTAGTATGGTAACACAAGACTGATTTTACTGGTGATTTAAAACACTGTAAATCCAAAGGCACAAAAAGTTTACCCTAGAAACAAAGCAGCTTTTCTTTAGGTTGAAAGCGTGTGGTGAATAAGGAGCTGCCCAAGACACTGGAAGAATACTCAGTTATACTTCAAAGAGATGGGGTTAAACTAAATAATGGGAAAACAGTCAAGCTCTGAAAACCTCTTCAGAAGGTTTTCAGCTCAGAACAGCTCAGTGCTGGTTCTCTGCAGGTTCCTTATCTGTGGAGATCTTAACACAGCATTTTGAGACAGAAAACAGATATTGTCACTGTTATAAACCTCAAGGACTCTACCCAGCCTTTTATTTTCATGGGCAGTGCTAATCTCCCCGTGCATTCTGGTACCTGAGTGCTCTCAGAAGAGCACTTCAAACTTTAACTGAGGTTTGCTCTCCTGAAAAATTCACTCTATGGTATTAGCCACAAATTGCCCAATACAGAAATGAGCTGGACACTACCATGTGCTCAGATCAGACAGGGCCTCCATTCTCTGAGAATCTACAGCACCATTTCTCAACCTTATTACATGGCCCAGCCAACAGTTATTGCTCTAAAGCAACAAAGTACCTGTATAAACAAGCATATTTTCTCCCTTCCCCAGTTAACTACTAAAGCATTACTGTAAGTTGCTGAATAAATAAATAATAAAATGCATAAACTGCTTTTCACTGGTATGCCATCTAGAATATCTATCAGTATGGGACTGATCTATCAGGTCCATCTGTAAAGAGAGAAGTGTACATTTGGGAAAGAAAGATTTCATCATAAAGGCACTCAATGTAAAAGACCCCTTTTCAAGGTCCCTTCTAGGTATCACATTGTTTATAACCCATTAAAAAAAGAAAAAAAAAAAAAAAAGAGAGGGTGAGATCACTCAGCTGAAACAGATGAAAAATAAAGAAAACTCTTCATGCAGTTATCTGTTGTCCACCAGGCTGGGATTCTAGGAACCCTGCTTAGCTTCATCACTACATTGTTTTCCATGTTCTGCTAATGACTGTTTTATACCTTATTCCCCAAATAGTGGCAGAAGCAGAAGTTTTCAAATTGCAAAGCAGTATGACCTGAGATGTCAGAGAGTAATGCAGCAGGTAGGTCAAAAGGGACAAGGCTCATATGGTCTCTTTAAACAGCCTCTCCTTCCTAATATCACTGCTAGAGAGAATATACTGGCCCTGATGGACCACTGGACCATCACAGGATGTTTCTTATACTCTGAAGCTCTGTGACTTGTCCAGAGAATAGGCTCTCACACAGTGAGATTTGTGCCTTCACTCTAGCTCAATTTGTGCCTCCACTCTAGCACAGACCACAGGAATGAAAAACAGAGCAAGCTTGGCTACATAGAAACTGTTACAAAACCATTTTCTGTACGAAAGTTTTAATCAACATTCAAAAATGGCCCCACTCTACCCTGGTATAAGCATTTCCTTGCAAGGATTCACTACATCTGCAAAGCAGTTCAAATTGAGATCAGAATTTTTGGGCACAGAAAGCTTTTATTTAAAGTTACTTTCTGTGCTCAGAATGGGTCACCAATAAAATGTCTCCATCCACCAGGAAACAGGATGAGTAAGTCGAAAAAACACACCCCTGCTATTCTGATTTCCCAACTCAGTGTTTTGCTGCAGAATTACCTGGAATTCACACAGTTCACCACAATTCTCAGCTGTCTCATCTTTGTTCTTCAATATTTGCACTTAAAAAAATCACCAGTTTATTTTTTTGATGACAAAATTCACCTGAATAAGGAACAACAGCATCAAAAAAGCAGAGAAGTGCATAAACCTGGCAACTTTTTGCCTGCATCAATGGTCACAACAATGGAGGCATTAACATTAATTACTTTGCCTTGTCAACAGTTTCTAAAAGTACACTCATCTGATACATTGAAGGTTCTGCCACTGTGCTGCCTCTGAGTGAACTTACTTATGGTATATGACATGATAAAGTTCCTACCAGGGCGCATGGCCAGCAAATCAAAGCAGGTAATTCCCTCTCCTTGGCACTCATGAAGCTGCACCTTGAATACTGTGTCCAGTTTTTGACCCTCCAGTTTAAGACAGACACAAATTGGAGTGGGCTCAGTGGAGGGCTACAAAGTAGGTCAGAGGTCTGGAGCACATGATCTTTGAAAAAGGTGAAGGATGTTTGGCTTGGTCAGCCTGGCAAAGAGGAGGCTGAGGTGATCCAACAGCAGCCTGCAACTACTTGAAGGGCAGCTCCACAGATAATGCAGCCAGACTCTTCTTGAGAGTGGCAGCTGATACCATGAGGGACACCAGCCACAAGCTGCAAAAATTCAGTTTTGGGAAATTCAGATCAGGCATTAGGAAAAAAAAAAGAAAAATTTCCCCATGAGTGCCATGTAGTCATGGCACAGGTACCCAGAGAGTTGATACATCTATTTTCCATGGAGGTTTTCAAAACCTATGTAGAAAAATGCATGTGGCTGACTGCATTGAGCACTGGCAACAGCCCTACTTCAAGCAGGGTGTTCAATTAGCAATCTCTAGAGGTCCCTTCCCACCAAGAGTCCCATGATGCCATGATGTACCTCATTACACTGAACATCACCCAAACAGCACGTCCATAGCACAGCCTCAGCCTCCCGAGCTACCTGAAGGTGCAGGGCCGTAAGGGCAGGAGGTGATGTTCCACCTGTATGCTCAGGAACTGCATTCCCCCTCTGACAGAACAGTACACAGGGGTGTGAAAAGCCATGTTCAATTAGAGCTCTTTAAAGAGGGAGAATTCTCTGCAGCTTTCCCACCTACCACACAACTTTGTGCCTGTTACACAATCAATGCAGAAACACAACACACTCCTGCTCCCCAAGAGCTGACACCTAACTAGATTAACTGTAGTCATGCCATTAATCTTGTTCTGCAGCTGGGGCCTTGGCCTGCATCGACAAGCACTGCATTCACAAGTGCACTGCTGCCAGGGAACAGCTCTTTCTGCCACTTCACTCAATGGATGCTCTGCAGGCAATTCATAAGACAGCAACATGAGATGGTCCCATTTACTGGACAACATTCTTTACATTTAAGTGAAAATAGTTTGCCCATCTGGGGGTGGAAAGAACAAAACACACAGTGCATTTCCCAATTCATCAAGAAACTGAGTAATGATAAGTGTAGTCATGATTCCTCTACTTAGAGCAAGCAGATAATTACACAGAAATAGCCCCTAAAGATGTTGCTTTACAATCAACTTGGTTATAACACCAACAGCTTCAGGTAAATTAGACATTTTAACAAAAGTCATTAAAAAAGGGCACTAATACAGTTTGTACAGTACCATAACTTACCAGAGATCCCACAAATAACAGTCCTAGAGAAGCTAAAGACAGCAGGAGGTATGACACCACAACGCTCCCCAGCCTCGTCAGGCCCTGTGGAACAAGAGCTGACAATGATCCATAGAGTACGCGGGGCACAGGAGAGAGACTGCACGCCTGGTCTTGGCCAGCCAGGTGTTCATTCCTGGGTTTCCCAGGCAGCTTTTGTCATACTATACTCTTGCCCATGTAGCCTCTAACCACCACCAACAGGAAAAAATGCCAGGCTTTGAGGAAGACAAACTGAGACCACCTCTAAGCCCCAGCATCCCAAAAGGTCAAAAAAATGGGTTTTCCTGCGTAGGCAAAGAGGAAACCTGCTTCCCACCCTCACACACTGAGGCACTGAGATATGGATCCACAATTCAATTTTGCAGCCTGGACCAATATTTCATTGCCACAGTCAGTGCAACTTCATATTGTGGCAAAGGGTTTTGAAGAAAGTTTAGTACTGTTCCCATGTTTGTGGGTCCTTACACCCCAGAGGACTCTTCTATACTTCCTACACATTGTGAAACACCATCAGGTTCATTCACAGCATCAGCAGTGACATTCACTCTGATGTCCTGGTCAGACTTAAGCAGTTCAGAGTTCACCCTATTCTCAGTAGTAGGTGCAAAATTGAATTCTGATGGGCTTCAGTGGGCAAGGAATTTTACTGTTTCTGTCCCTCTAGTACAGATAAAGAGAAATTAATAATTAAGAGATTTCTTTTGTTTATTTTAATGTCAGATTTCTTTGCCTTTACTGTTTTCATGTCTAAATTAGCACTGAAAAGAGTGCTATAGTAAACAGTCCTCAAAAGATATGCATGAACATCTGCACAGAGTCATACTTGGGGTGTTCCTGTGGTGCAGTCTAGGAATCGGTTTCCTCCACACCGAACACTTGTTTTAAGTCAAAATCCTATAAATCAGGGATCTGTAAGGAACAATTTGTTAATGACTGACCCACTACAAATAAGGTACTGGCAATACTCTGTGACGAGCTCCAATTGTGCATAAATCCAGCTAAGAAAGGGCAAAGAAAAAGTGCTTCTTTCAAATAAACAAAAGAGTAGGTTACATGTAGCTCAAACACTGTTAAGAGAACACAGAAAACAGTCTCCACTGTACTTCAGCCACAAGCAGCACTGACTCAGATTTCCTACTTGTACTGCATAGACTCTGCTACAAAGATTATGTACAATGAAGCTAAGCATTCTGATAGCAAATACATTTCACCTGATTTTTGAAAGTAGCTGCTCACCATTTAATTAAGCTTCTGTCCACACTAGAGAAATCTGCACTGGGTGTATTTACCCCAGTAATTTATCAGATGACTCATACTGCTATGCGTGTCATTATGTCATGGTGAGAAGCTAAGCAATTTTACTGGGGTAGTAATTGAATCTGTACACCTGAAATTCTTATACTGCACACAGATATGCTCTAAACACTCAGCAAAAAAAGCAAAAAAATTCTGTGATTGAGTATCTTGCAATTTGCACCTTTTAAGTGGGTTCATCCATTCTTCCAGAATTTAAGCTGCTATGCTTCCTAATAAATTAAGTTCCAGCTCTCCCTTTATTGTCAACTAAACCTTAGTGGTCTGACTTCATAAGGCTTTGTTTCATTTGCAATCATTTGCACATTATGAAAAATCTGCTGTGCTGATCTAACATAGCCAAAAATTCAGGCCCGTATCTGGAAGATAAAATATGGATCTGTTTTCAGACAGCTCCTGACCATTTCAGGACACATACGCTACATTCTATGAAGTACATGTGTGTTACACTTTGAATCAGAAGAGATATGACAAGCACCACCCAAGGCTACTGACATCAACTATATAACCAGAGAGGAGTACAAGGACTTACCTCCCCTTGAACTGACAAAAACTGCTTAAATGGGGTAAGCAAGTAAGAGAGCAGGTCAAAGGCACCCTGAGCTGCTGGGATGGTCCCGTAGGTGCTGTACCACAGCATCACGCCGAGAAGCTGTGCAATCAGTCAGAAAACACATAATGAGCATCTCTCATTATACAAACATCCATTTTCATTTCAGGACTGCATAATTAACTAATTTAGTTCTCATTGATTTCATGTTGATCATCGTTTTTGCTTTAAGAAGTCAGGTTTTTCTAGGCTGTAGCTTCACAGGAATAAAGAGGCTGAGAGTGAAATGCTCAGCTACCATTAACAAGATGCACACCACTGAGGTGAGCAAGGATACCCTCATCTGCACTAGCAACAGGACTGCCCATGGTAGTAGGTTCATTGGGAGAGCAACAGAGTCCTCTGACTGCTGAACTTCCAGTGTGATCACTTTTAGATCAAAACTGGTAATTCAGTGGCCTTTATATGTTATTAGAAGACCATTAAGGCCTATCTCACGCCATGCAAAGCTCTCACAAATACCTGTGTCCACATAGGCAATCCTGCAAACAGGTACACACACAAACACAGACACGTTGAAATATTTCATTTGAACCACTTAAGGTTACTGCACACCACAGTTAGTATAAAAATACAAAAGTAATGCTGTTACAGTTAACACCCCCACAGAGAGGTGTACCCTCATGCCTGATTAGGAGGAGTACACTGCAGCTTTAGAGGATACACCTCCCAGTCCACCTTTTAACAGGACAGTTATCTACCCCCATTCAGACCAGCAACAAAAAATGGATTCATTGGAAGATGGGTCATTTGGCAAAGGAGGCATTTGCTGAGGGGCAGGGACCAGGATGGGGGTCTGGGACACCAAAAGGCAGAAGCTGTTTGCAAAGCAAGGCTGTGAGAGGTGGCTGCAGAAGTAATGAGAGGACTGCAGCTACGTCCACTGCCATGCCTACAACGAACGAGAAGGAAACCTGCCCAGCCAACAAAGCTTTCCCTCCATTTCAAAGTGATGACAAGCTGCCTTACCAGTATCTGTGAAAGGACAAACAGGCACATGCTGTCTCCAGGCATCAATCCATTCCACCGGGCAGCCCAACCAAGCGGTGCCGTTTTCTGGGAGGCTTTCAGGGACTGCTCCTTCCTGTTCAGCTGTCCTTGCTGTCCTTCAGCTTCATCCATTGACTCCATAACAGCTGGATGGGAAAGACCTTCACGTGAAAATGACACGTGCAGGGAATGAATAGCACAGAACCCTGCAGCCACGGCGGAGGCTGCAAGGGCTGTTGTGTTCCCAGAGACAACGCTTACCTCTCTCAGTTCTGCATCGGTGAGCCCAGCTCAGGATTGTGAGCGTCACGCTCCTAGTGCAGCTGCATTCACCTGCCTTCGTCAGAAAAAAGTGAGTGTGGGCGGATAAATTATTTTCCCTTTCTTCCCAGAGGTTCAGATTCTGGGCTTTGTTGTTAATAAATTCTCATTTACATTGCTGCACCTTTTCGGTTTTACTTTTTAAAAGGAGCCATCTGTGATATTTTGCTAGCTCCACACTTCCCTGCTACATGGTGGCAGAGAACCCATTTTGTTCCTCCCTGCCTCAATTTCTCTATTCCCTCTTATTTGTCTGCTTTGTCTAATTTGATCATAAATTTCTGAGGTAGAGACTGTTTCACATTATACGTCTGAATGGTGCTCATGGGCTCCGAGTTTTGGCTGAGTGTCCTAAGGCACTAATAAAAAAGACTTTATTCTAATAACTACTTCTTGGATGAATTCATACTCAAGAGCTATTGAATAATAGCTATTCCACTCAGTGGAAATACGCATTGGAGTGGCTAGTCCCTCAGTAACAGCATTTTGAACACAGTCTGTGCAGATAAATTAATTTACAAGTTAGGAGTGGAAGATTGGTCCCATTTGCTTTAAGTGCTACTGATTTATATCTTTCTGCGTGAGGAAAGCCCCAGGGCTGCCCTATGCACAACACTGTAGCCCTAAGCCTAAGCCAGCCCCCTGTGCCCCTGGGAAAGGCCACATCGTTGGCTCCTCCGTGGTTCATTGAGGTCAGCTTTCTACAAGATCCTCCACTCAGGTGTTTCTCCAAATGTCTCACAATAGTAACTCTAAGTCAGAGGAGCATCCATAGACTAGCCACAGCTCTAATCAGGCAAAGGAGACAGGATCTGTGTATCAGGTCTGGCCATTGGTACAGTAAGGATTCATGAAAATATCCCACTCTGATTTCTAAAACCTAAAAATGTGAGTGGACAGAACCAGAAGATGTTTATTCACACTCTGTGATAGTTCTCCCTCCCCTCACTGTATCAGACCTTAGGAGATCCTTCTGGAGCACAAGAAGTTCCACCTCAACATGAGGAAGAACTTCTTTACTGTAAGGGTTCCAGAGCACTGGAACAGGCTCCCCAGGGAGGTGGTGGAGGCTCCTTCCTTGGAGACTTTTAAGACCCGTCTGGCTGCGTTCCTGTGTGACCTGCCCTAGACTGGATGGTCCTGCTCTGGCAGGGGGGTTGGACTCCATGATCTCTGGAGGTCCCTTCCAACCCCTAACATTCTGTGATTGTGTGAGATCCATCCCCACAGGAGAGAACAAGGTGCTTGGGAGATGCTGATGGCTTCCTCTACAAGGTTTGCCATTCCCACAGCTGCCCAGCAACAAGAGGGATCACTGTGTAATGACTGGGGAGATCCACAGGCACAAGAAAGAGCACCTGCAAGGTACTACCAGGTACTTCCTTGGGAGCTCAGGTTACCCATTTGTCATTCTCAAAATATCTCTGGTCAGTTTAGGGTGGGTAGTGGCCTCAGCAAGGTATGCTGGGTCTAACTGGTTAGATGTAGCTGTTTTCCTTGTCTTTACACAGGTGTTCCTCAGGAAGCATTAAAGAATGTGCATCTAGATGGACAACACATCCATGTGTGTCATACCACAGGTATATGCTGAAATGAACTGTTTGTCAGGAAGGACTCAGTACAATAATTTGCAAATGCTATCAAAATTTCACATTAAATATAGGTCAATAAACCATGGAAAAGTATGGAACTAAAGAGAGAAAATTCAGAAGAGTCAGTAGTCTCAGCCTGTATTTCTCACAGTGGTGAAAATTCCTTTGCTTTCATCTATATGTCTCTAATACTAGGAAACAATGCTTGAAAATAGCACTTCTCAAAGAAAAGCAGCCAGCTTTTGGAATAGAGCTCAAGAAATCATGGGAGCTCTTCCTCTCTACCTCTCTGTCCTTCAGGCTGCAGCTGGTAATCATGACAAACCCTCCCAAGAAACAGAAAGCCCAGACACAGTCCTTGCTGTGCAGGGACACTGACCTGACCTCTGACACCACGCTACATAGAGCTGGACCCAAAGTTCTACAGGAGAACAACACAATGGCCACGTCCAGCTGCCACAGTTAAGGCTGCCTAAACACTTTCAAGGCTGACCTTTGCTTTTATTTTCTCTGATGTGCCAAAATTTTACAGTTAGAGCTGAAAATTTTCAAGCTTCCGAATTGCTTCCTGTCTCACTGGATCTGGACAAGAATTGAAGGCAAACCCCTCGTTAATGATTGCAATTTTTTCCTGCTATTTTTGTGGCACGTTTATGCACTGTGTTTTGGAACAGAAATTTGAAATTAAGCAGGAACAGAATCTTGATGTCAGAAATTATTTTTGCTACCCATGCAAAAAGAAACGCACCTATGGCTGAAGTACAAATCTTAATGAACTATAGGTACATAGATATTTTTTATGGCTTGCTCCTGAAGTCTCTAACCTTCTGTTTTCACTAAGCATGTTTTAAGCTCTCCTTTTCCTTTATCTGCACTAAATAACACACCTCTGTCACTAAGAATGGCTAATGAACCTATTTACTGTTTTTCCAAATCCTAATGACTTCCGTTTTTGATACTTGTTCCTAAAGTTCAAGATTCTTTGGGAAGACAACCAGAAAAAGGAGCCAGAGGGAATGCAGGTTTCAACCTCAACCTTCAACTATTTTTTATGTCATAATATTTCATATTTCAGAAGACCTTTTTTTTTAACTGACCGAAAGCTCATTCACCTGCCTTATGCAGCAGGTAAGCAGAATGTCTTTGTTTCATACCTGTAGCAGCCTGAGATTTTATGAGGTCACTTCTGTCTAGGTTAGAAACAGAACCTTGACTCTAACATGACGACGTGACAGCCACTTAACCACACACCTTCCGGAACAAAGACGTCAAGTTGGGGGAGCACTCCGTGTCTGTAACCATGGGGATCTGTGCCTCTCCACAGCCCAGAAGCCCAATTCCTGGTACTCCAGTGTTGTCTAGCAACAGTTGCACAACTGCAGAAGTCACATTCTCCTTCTCATGACTGCCCTATAAGAAGGACAATAGACCACTTCTATTTTCAATTATTCTAACTGCATGAGGTAGAAATCTGGTCTAGGGATATTGGGGTCCAAGACTGCAGCTCTGCAGGACTGATATTGTTATAATACAGTAAAAGACACCAGAGGCAAGAACTACAACAATGGAGAACTGTCTGAATTCCTAAATATAAATGCATAGATTAAGACTGATGTCTTGGGTATACAAAAAAAAGCATGTTGGATTAAAGTCGACCCAAAAAATTTGCCACTCTGAATCATAAAAGATGAGATAAAGACATAATGATGTCCACCCACCTAAGGTTCTGGACTGATTTAACTATGTCACCATTAAACCATACTTCCATCACCATTCACACTGCTTCTTACAATCCTGTATTCCTGTATTATTTGCCCTAATGGGCCCTGGATTCTCTCACACATTAGGTAACAAATGAGAGTGACATCAGTAAAGCCTTGTTGTGTCAAGGTCAGTGTGAAGGTCTTGAGACAGCTGACAAGGATGACTATGTCCAGGAGTGAATTAATCCTCTCCTCTGCTAGTGTTTTGACTGATAGTGAAATCTAACATCCGTATTAATCCTCTCCTCTGCTAGTGTTTTGTCTGATAGTGAAATCTGGGTGCTATTCTCCTGAATTCCTTCATCATGCAGATTGGGATTCAAGTTCTGCAAATACTTCTGCTTTGACACAGCACTATGCTTGCTAGGAAAAAAAACCTTTGGTAGAATAATTAAAAGGTCTCCAAGATCTGTAGCAATCACACCGCTTCTTAAAGCAACTTGAAATTTCAAAACACCACCATAAACTTCACCTCATGCTTGCTGTTCAAGGAAAGGAATATTCTGGATGGAGCCAGGGACCTACCTATTCATCCTGTATTCTTTCCTTAAATGTAGCCATCAGTACAAGCTGCCAACTATAAGTGACACGACACTTTGCTATGGAGCAACCTGTGTAGGGCAACACCTTTGTGCACTCAAAAGGCGTTGACACTGGCTTCTGTAACTCAGACAAGGCCCCTTTTAAACCCTGTGTCTCCACCTCTCTTTCTGAGTTTATATGTGGGTACATAAAACGCAGAAGACTGAAATAGAACCTACACGCCCCCAGAAACACACGTGCTTAGAGTGCTGGACTTAACTGAAACACTAAAAGGTGCTGTAGTAACAACATGTCAGCAATGCCTTGAACTAACAAACATGCCATGATCCAATCGAATGCTGCTGTGGGTGAGGCATCAGCAGCTCTGGAACTCAACAGATGCACACTTAGAGCCTTTGCAGAAAAACAAAACAAAGCCCAACCTGCCAGGACCGTGTATCCTGGCTGTATGTCCTAATGAAGCGAGCACTTTACAAGGAACTCATGTCCTCTCCTATGCATAGGTGCTAATGCTCAAGGAATTGGCACAGCTCCACTGGCAGACTGAATTTAACAACGTGTTTTTGAGATGAAAACAGACTTGTTCCTTGCCAAAAGGATTTTCATAACAGAAACAAAGTGTACCCCAGCAATGAAAACATAGTGCTCATACAGTTATTAAACTCTTCCTTACATCGATCACACTGTGCCTGTGGGAATTATGCTTCTGAGGGACTGGGCAGTACTGCCTTTTCATTGGGAAATACAGATATTGCTAATGCTGGCTTTTTCTTCATTCCTGTGAATCCTTGAGCTTTGTGGAATTACCAGCCACACACAAGACAGGAGAGAGAAAAGATGGGTCTCACCTGCTCTGCCAGCTTTCAAGCCACACACCACAGCAGCATCATCCCATATTTGTTTCACGTGTGCAAAGATCCAT